GAAGGGGAAAAGGCCCCCCCCCCCCCCAAAAAAATAGGGCTATGCAGAATGCTTCGGTAGAACGTCAGTATAAATAACTGAATCTCTCTTTAGAAAAAGCCTACCTTTCAACAGAGATATTTCTTCTGTCTCCAATTTATGTTTAGTAAAAGCCATGGAATTCTACCCCTGGGGCAAAACTAGTTTTAGACAAATTTATAATCTTTGCCAATAAGCTGCAATGTCACAGATAGCAGAATCATTGACCTGTGTTGACTGCAATAGCAATGAATTTTGTACAAAGTCCTGTCTGTAGCATACATAAACAGTCCCATTGCCTCTCTTAAAAACAAAAAAAGCAACGGAAGTACTCTTCAAAAGGCGAACACGTTACGGTAAGCATTACTGTGAAACATGATTTAAGAACATCTCCATTCAACAAGTATCCATTTTTCTTTTGTTAAACCTGGGTGAATCACAGAAATGCAAGAACAGGACAATTTGAGACATTGATGTGCATTCATTCATAAATATTACAGGGGTCTGAAAGTTACTTCACAGGCTAAATTGAAACAATAAGTGTGAAAGGGTAATCCAAAGTCATCAATAAACTTAAGGTGGTATTTCAGTGACAATTAAATAGGCTAATGACAAAGCATGTAGGTGAAATGTTTGCCTTTTATTTCTCATAGAAGATAAGCCAAATAAAAAGTTTTAGTGCAGAGCCACAACACAGTCCAGCGCTCTCCTGTAGAGGGCCGCCCTTATGATGACACCACTAAGATCCAAGAGTTAAGAGTGACAAAATTGTCACTTCCTTTGCCCCATTACCCCTAAAGAAATAAGTTTATTGAAAATTATCAGTATAAAGAGTTTCACAAGACTGTGCAAATCATTCCACTCTCCTTTTGTACGCAAAAGAGTTTGTGCTTAGTTCTAACCAAATAACTTACCATTTCCTGTGCTGTTACAGCAATGGCTTTAGAATATTTCACCACAGTAGTCTGATAATCAACAAATGTTCCCTTGGGATCTGGAGGCGTACCTTCATCCAGCTGCAAGAAAAAGGGAAAAATATGGCAGAAATAATAAGGTCATAACCAATAGCATATTTTACACGTAATAATGCAATTGTATTATATATTCATTTTTGCAATCTCCTCTCTCGAAATAATGCAAATGAGAACACTGCATCAGAATGTATGGAGAAGCTCAAAAGAGACTTTAGCCTGTGTTACGAGCACAGAAGATGCAGAGAATTTACAGCACAGTTTTTGAGCACAAGATCAACTTCTCACACAAGATGAAACCAGCTGTAGCTCTCGGCTAATGTAGAAAGCGTGCAATGGTTATGAAAGAAAACGTTCCTGCAAGATAGCATAAGATTCCTTTAGTGGTAAAGTCTTCAATCCTGCACACCTTTAACTTGAAATAGGAAAAGCCAATTATTTGGACTGAAATAATTTACATTTTGCAACCCCCTGCAATGCAGTTTGGCTTTCAAGGGCAAAATGAAAAAGGGGTCTGGACTTCTATGCTCACCTTGCTCATTGCCTCTGCTATCGAGTCTACCATACCTCCAACCATGCCTACTTCGCTGGCAGCTTCATTTAAGGTAACCATAATATCATCCACAGCCTCTTTCATCAGCTGAGCAGCCTCAGTGATTGCATCGTGAGTATGGGATGCCTGGAAAATAGAAAAAGAGGAAACAGAGATCATCAGAGAGCATTATCTGCACAAATCAACAAGTGAATCAAAAGCGTAATTAATGAAGACAATACAATAACAGCTCTGAAAATCCCCTTTCAGATCAAAGATGTGAAGCTAAAGCTAACAGCAATGTTGACAGAAAAAATTTTGCTTAGATGAGGAAATACGACATCAAATAGGAATCAGTTAGAAACACCCGACCTTTTCTGTGACAAAATGATGAAAATAACTCGTACATAACAGAATCAACAAAGAAAAGGGAAGGGAAAAATAACACCAGACAGTGAAACTGGCTACTTCTGTACAAAACCCAAAAGATTCAAAAAAGACACATGTAGAAATATGAACAACAAAACGAAAACACCTGTCATATAAAGGAATAAAAAATATCACGATCATATATCACTAAAAAAGACTGTAACAAAACACTCCGAAGAAACTATTTCATGACTATTCTACAGCAGTAAATAAAACCAAATACCAAACCCAGAAAGTCTTCTATCTTCAGTCAAAAACCTACTTCAAAAAACCTGCTTGAATATTCATTAAAAAATCATGAAAGAAAAGACAAAAAACAACCAACAAAAAACCTAGATCAAATATAATTTAAAAAAAAAATATGATGAAGAAAGGAGTAAAAATAAGAGAAAGGTGCAGGAAGTGCACCAGAGGAAAAAGTGTTGCAGGACAACCAACGGCTCTATAAAGGCGCGCAATGCGTGACATAAAAGAAAGCTTCGCATGCTGATGTCTGTTTTATAAGGACATGCGAAGCGCGCTAGAGAAGAGCGTGCCACGCGTGAACAACAGTTACACAAGGGTGCATAACGCATGCCACAGAAGAAAGCATCGCACACTGATGATGGTTACACAAGGGTGCACGAAGCACACCAGAGAATTAAGCGTTGTGCGCTGATGACTGTTACACAAGGGCGCGCAAAACGCACCAGAGAAAAAAGCATCGCATGCTGATAATGGTTATACAAGGGCAGGCAAATTGCACCAGAAAAGAAAGCTTTGTGCGCTGACAACGGTTATATACGGGCACATCAAGTGTGCCAGAGAAGAAAGCATCATGCACTGACGATGGCTCTTTACTGAGCAGTAAGTGGGTGCTGGTTTTTGTGCCCTGCCTGCCCTCTGCCCCTCACACACCCGCCCTCTCCCATCTCCAATAATCCCTCCATTACACACGGCAACTGTACCTTGGGGTTTCCTCCCCCTTCTTTGGCGGCGTACAACATCTGTAAGGCAGACTCTGCTAGTGTCTTGCTCTGGTCCAACACTGTCATCTGTTGCTGGTGATCGAGTGTTTTGGATGCCACGCCAACTGCGGCTAAAACCAAGGGTTCAAAGTAACTTGCCAGCTGCGTTACCTAAGAAAGCCAGAACAGAAAGTCATTAACCCCCATTTCTCAGGTGTAACCAAGAGGAATCACATTCCCCGATTACCATCAGGCCATGGGTCAGCTCAAATAGCACACTGTCCTAGTGCTTCTGCACTGTACAGCTTTCAGTTTGTATTGTGTGCCTGTGTAATTCTGTCTTCCCTCACCTTCAAATCCTTCGATAAAGCCATACGCCTCCTCCCTCAGATGCACACTAGCAATAGGCATGCTACAAAGACCGCAATACCAAGCATGCTGCATTTTTCCCCTCAGTTAATTACTTGGGCTCAATACAGTGTTTGGAATAGCTGAAGACACAGTTCTGCTAGCAACTTCTGTTGCTGTATTTTAGTCTTCAGAAATATGTCTCTCTGTTTTCTGATCTGATTTACAGTTGTTCTCAGGAAACATCTGCTTTTGGTTACACATATATTCTAAGAAAATAAACAAGTATTTTTATATGTTTGAATATTTTTCAGTCTACCTGTCATCTGACGCATCTTCTACAAAACCACAACCCTTGGTTCCTCTCAGGAATCCATGAGACTTGGTTTTTACACTTTTTACTGGATGTGAAAACCTTGTACTACTTTGGGCCGATTACTCCACAGAACATACACAAATAGCCCACTGTGGCACCATCTGGTACACCTGAAGCCTCAGAAGTTCAAGCATGTGTATGTTTGCAGGGGCTATAAGCAGCTTTCAAAGGCTGGCACGGGGAAGAAAAACAGTAGTACTTCATATGCAGGAAAAGGTATTGAAAGGTTTACTCCATCTAAATGACTACGTGGATACCTAAGGGCCAATAGCATTTTAAGAATTCAACTTTTTCTATTTTGTTTCTCAGAGGATTAAAGCAAAAAAAAAAAAAAGGAAAAAATAACAAGAAATATTTCACAAACATAAGGTCTTTTAAACTAAGTAAACCGCAGGAAATGCTTTCTTCTGCATTCAGCAGAAAAACAGGCTCAAGAAAAGCGCTGTCGACTTTGGTCAACATTTACCTAATGAGTGGGAGGAGGAATGTGACTCTCTAACTACCTGTATCTTCACAATCCTGATTTGTTGTGTGCCTCAAAGTGCTAGGGGCTAGGCAAACCGAGAATCAATACTGCAAAATAGTTGAGACATTATGAAACATTTTATAGTTATCCAAAGCTAAACAGAGTTGTTCGGGTTCAGCTCTGGAAGAGCTTCCACACTAACAAAGTGATTCCTTTCCAGTATTAAACACACTGACACAGAAAACTTGTATGTATTTTTCTCTCAAGATTACATTGTAGGATGAGGAATTACTCTCTGAGAAACTACTAAAAGCTTGTAATAACCACAATAAATGATGCACACCTCTTGTACACCCATTGTAACATTTCATTTTTGGACAGAGATCTAATAAGTGCAAGTTCTACCACAATTACACTCCACAGAACACAAGGACATGTTGACACAACACTTCCAAGAGGATGTGAGGTTGTTATAAGCCTTTCTTTCCCTTCAACCCCTAAAATTTGCAGCAGGGGCTGAAACTCAGGGTAGTTGAAAATCATTAGTTTTTTCCTAATAAAGTTAGCACTCCCTCTATAATCAGTGGAGACTGAGCACCTGCCTCAGAAGGTGGAAAGCAGGCACATCACACTCCTCCTTTGAAACCACAGCCTAAACCTCCCTCTCCTAAGGGAGAGGCCTTTAGGAGATGGGCCTCCATAGGCCAGAGGTAACCTCTGGGCGTATCCCACATGTGCCTCCTTGCTTCGTCACGAGCTGGCCAAGAAATGGAGTAGCATGCTTTATGCAAGGACCTCAGATCAGGGTAGAGGCTGACAAACCTTTGCCAGACTTCATCCACTGGCCAAATTCTGTTATATATACATATTCAAACTATAACTCTGTGTCCTGCCAAATGAGCTTGGAGTGCGATGGACCCCCAGGTCCTGTGGTCACCTTTAACACAGCACAGAACCACCTACACATAATGTACAGCTGCTGGCTGCAAAAGCCAGAGGTAGGGAGACCTATAACATTGCACTCTGACCTTTCATCTTTGACTTTTCCTTCCCCTTTCTTCATTTGTCCTGTCTCCATGAACTTGCCCCTCACTGAAAACCTCAATGAAAACATCTTTCTGATAGCCCAAAACATAAACAGGTTCATTTGGCCTCAGCTCCAAGTATTTGGAAATCCCAGATCTTTCCTCCTTCCACGTGCTTTCTTCCACTCTTTCATAAGAAGTGAAAAAAAATACTGAATCATGGTTTCCCGTAAAATCCAGAGATCTCAAATACCTTCACAGTGGTAGGACAGTACCTTGTGCCCCAGCTGAGCTGCCTCTCCTCGAGCTGCAGTAGCTATGGGATCAATGAGATGGCCAATTTCCTGGACAACTGATGTCAGCTGTTCCTGTAGAGCCTAAGATAAAGAGAAATTGTTAGTTATAGCACTGTTGTTCTTTTATCAAGTTGTACCATACTGTAATAATCACCCTCAGACCAACCAACATACTCCAAATGCTGTTCAAATGACCCACTGCAGTAGGATGCAGAAATCCACGCTGTCAGCTTGCTTTACATACTTGCTCATTTCTTCTCCTTCAGCTTGTTTCAAGAACAAGAACCCTGAGATAGGCCTGCTCCTCTTTGGATTTGTATGGAAAGTCTGGGGAGAGCAGGGGGAAGAGGGCTCCCTCCTATTCCAGCTGACAGTAGCAAACTCGGGAGCAGGCGTCCTTTCTCATTACGACGTGACAAACACCCCCCACCAAACTATACTTGCCCTGCCAAGGATTTAGCATCACTGCACCAATCAGAGAAACCAGCAGGAGCTCCCATTTAAATATGAAGAAACATTCTTCAAAGCAGACAATACAGCACAGGAGCAAAAAGCTCTGCTGTAGACTTTGAAGCTAGCAGGGGAAGTTCACCTACAAGGAAAGACAAAGGAAAAATATGACATCTCTGAGGGCCAGAGACACGGACTGACCTCCTGAATACCATCTGCGGGACAGGAGCATAAGAAAAGCACATTACTGGGCTTGTTGAGACATACGTACTGGCTTTTAATTCAGAGCCACTTCATGCCTTGACAGCCACTGGGATTTAGCTCACTCTCATGAAAGGCAAGAGAAAATAAATGCTATTTTGCACTTTGTTACATTCCTGTACTGCTTTATAAATAACTGCCAAGATGACTTCATTATTTAAATAGAAATCATGGAATTATACCTATGACATATTTCCTACATTAGCTTCTTTTGTATAGGTTCATTTAGTCCGAGGTGTTTCTAGTATGCAATGTTACAGCCCAAAGAAACCAGATGTGTAATTTCAGGAAGCAATAGTACAAAAAGACACTAAATACCAAGCTGAGAATGTGATCACGAGCTGCTGAGTTTTCGCAGGCAGTCTGGCATGATGGCCCTTCCTCAGTTAGATAAAGGCTGAAATAGCATGGGATTGGTCCACATTAACATAGCGGGGCGGGGAGCTTTTTTAATGAGAACATATCAACACCAACTCCAAATTTCACTTTTTTAATGAAAAAATAGGCATTAAAAAATGACATAGACATTTACATCACTGTACTTCTAGTAATAGGTTAGCTTCAGAAACATCGACTTCCGTATGGCAAGGCACCAGAGAAGCACTATCAGTTGGTCACGTCAGCACAGGAAGTCAGAGTAATATGTGGATGGTAGTTAAAAATAAGTACTTTCACCCCTACTTTTGCCTGGTGATTCTTGTATCTTTCCAGAAGTGATACGCTTTGGCCAGCACATGATTTTGCCTAGAAAGATTCCAATAAGAACACCTCTCCCCTCACTGGTAGACTGGACCGAGTGCGCAGCTCCAAATCATTCAATGGAAAGAAAAGCAGCAGGGCAAGTGTGGCTGCTCAGCGTTACTCTGTCTGTTCCTGTGCTATCTCCCTTACCTCAACTGAGATGTCATCCCTGGTAGCCAGACTCTGACTGACGGCTGCAAGGGAGGCCTGCTCAATGTCTCGGATGCATCTGTTAATCCCATCAATGGAGAAATCACATTCTCGCTGGCCTGGGGCCTTGTCCCTGAAAGACAGATAGTAAACTCTGCGCGGTGGGAAGGAGGCAGGCTTTTTCATGAGCACACACAAGCATACTTCATTACCTGACAATACATAAAGCACGTGGGAGGAGAGCAACAAGGACAAAAGTTAGCTTTGTGCTATCTACAGGATGTTGATGTATGCACAGACTACTCTGCACGCTTTCATACACATGCGCATATCGCTCCTCTCTTCATGATTAGACAGAAAAAAGTTTGTTGCCTCAGAAGAAAAGTGTAAATTACACCTCCTTGGAATGGCCACACTGGCCCAATAATGAAAGTCAGCATGAAAACACAACAGACAACCAGAAAAAATATTCAGGTTTCTGTACAGTGCAATTGACTGTCTTGGAAAACAATCCTTTGTAATTAGGTGTTATATTCAGTCCGAGGTATCTTTTAATGAAGGTTGGTTTCTGAATACTTTGTGCTGATGTGCAGTTTGCTATTTCAGTACAATCTTTACCAAAGATCAACGAAACTGTAAACACTCCTTAGTTCACTGTTTCGTACCATTTTGATTTAATCAATATTAAGAGGTTAAGTACAGAACTACACTTCAAAATTTTCAGTAAGAAAGGGGTAGACAGGTTTAGTCCAAAAAATAATGAATATTCACTTCTTGCTACAGCATTCTTGCAACTAAACCAAGAATAGATAGCAAAGGTAATTTATACACTGCCTGACCGACCTTAAGAAAAAAAATTGCTGTTTCCCACATACCATATGTTGGTACGTGATCCTGATGGAGGTAAAATTAGATACATTTTTGTAATTCTACAGTATTTATTTACATTTACCTTACACTGAATTGGAAATGGAACCAGGGAAGGAGAACAGAATACAAAGAACAACACTATGCTGCAAAGTGCTGCAGTCATCAATTATGATTATACACCCAGCATAACTGGGGAGATATTGTGCATCACAGAATAAATAATTTCCATTAGTGAAAAATACCACAGTGCTAATGGTCGTATGGTATTAGTTTTTATGAATGGCTGCTCAGTTATTACAGCTTAAATGTGGACAGAAAAAAGTTACTACAAAAGACATACCTGATAGAGGTGATAAGACTCTTGATGGAATCTGACACAGTATGGGAATGTCCAGCTAGAACAGACCACGTAGGAGGGTCTTTTGGATTGATAGCCAGAGAACGAGCAGTTTTGATCAATAAAGACGAGCTCTCCAACATTGTTTTAGCAGAAACTAGAATTGGTTCCTGTGCTCGTGATCCCTGTGGTCAGAAAGGTACAAGAACACAAAGAACATTTAAATAATTATTTGAATTCGTCCATACTTCCTGCTCCTAAAAATCTGTTTAATTAACAGCATTAAAATGACATTATCATTTCTTGTATCGTACTATTATATTCATGGATAGTCAGCATGGAAATAGTATTAAATCATTGCAGTCCAACTGTTTTCTCTGTAACATACTTAAACACTTTTCAAGTTTAGAAAGGCACCATCCAGCTGAGAAACAGGGGAAAACAATGACACTTTCCTAATTGTAGACTGTAGAGGTATCACTGAAAAAAAACCCACTTTATTTCTTACTGCAGCCTACCTAGTTTTATCCTACTGGTGCAAGATTCAAGGTCAGAGGTTAAGCGCAAGACAGCAGAATGCCCTACGAATACCCAGGAACAGAGACATTTTGGGGTTAGGTCTTTACACTCACTTCCTCTCTCCTGACACAAGGATTAATTCAACATTTTCAACTTTTTGAGGGTGAAAGTGCAACACCCTGCCTTACCTCAGTGCTGATCTGTGCTGGTATACTGACAAATTCTGGATTTGAAGCAAATGCTGTCAGATTTTCCACAGCCTCTATCAAAGGTGCCGTAGCAATTCTGCACTTGTTACGGTTCTCTTCAGAGAAATCACCATCCAGGGCCTGGAAATTAAATCATGGTTGAATTCTGTCTGAATGGGTTTCTTTGCAAAATTGAAGAAAGATGGTTAATTCTTCGTAGTTTTAACTGTTGTGTGCTTATGACATGTGAAAGTTCCTCCACAACCAAGGCTGATGCAAGGAATGGGATCCTTTAAGTGTGTGTTTCCTTACTTAGCTGGTGATTGGCCCTAAACTTAAAACTGCTGCTTTGCTTCACAAGACTAAATAAAGGTTTTCTATCATTGCACTCTGATGAGTCTCATAAATTGTGTTTCATGCTCCAAAGGGTAGAAGTGGTTAACAAGATGGCTCTTTACTATAGACTGATTTAAAAAAAAAAAAAAATATTTTTAAACAAACGAGTAATTTATTGTTCTCATTTTCACCTGAGTCAACTGATCTCTTTCATAATCTCATAGGAAAGATTTCAATATGAAGGACCTTCTGTGTAACATGATAGAACCTTCCAGTCCTAAGAGCAGAATTATTTTAAAAGACTTTCAGTAGCAGACCAGCTAATGGCTTCCAGAAGGGTTTAGAATTGCAAGTTCTCTATGGTTTAACAAGTATTATTTCTGCTTGCATGCGGAAAAGCTACCTCCTGCCAAATTGCAGGCAGGTATCTGGAAAATAAAAGATTACTGTTAACATGAGACTATTAAACAACAGCAACACAAATGACGTCCCGGTTTCGGCTGGGATAGAGTTGATTTTCTTCCTAGCAGCTGGCACGGGACTGTGTTTTGGATTTAGCATGAGAAGAATGTTGATAATGCACTCATGTTTTAGTTGTTGCTGAGCAGGGCTTACACCTGGAAGGAGGCACAGCCAGGAGAGCTGACCCCAATGGAGCAAAGGGCTATTCCATACCGTATGACATCATGCTCAGTACATAAACTGGGGGACTTGGCTGGGGGTGGGGGGCAGTGACTGCTGCCCAGACACTGGCTGGGCATCAGTCAGTGAGTGGTGAGTGGTTGCATCCCTTGTTTTTTCCCAGGTTTTGTTTCTCTCTCTCTCTCATTGTCTTCCTTTTCATTACAATTTTTTATTATTATATTTCAATTATTAAACTGTTCTTATCTCACCCTACAAGTTTTCTTACTTTTGTTCTTCCAATTCTCTCCCTGTCCCATGGGGCAGGGGGGAGGAGGGTAAGCAAGCAGCTGTGTGGTGCTTAGTTGCAGGCTGTGGCTAAACCATGATAACTGCTTCTGTCTGGTCCTTAGTATTATTTATTTCTTTATTTTTCTCTTATAAATATGATAAAGCTGTCAGAAATACCTCCACAAATCTCTGGATACTGAGCAACGAACACCTTTAAAAACCTTCACATTCAGTTGTTTGCAGATTATTCTCATTGCGCAAGCTCATTTAGTACATCAACACAGAGATGTCTCAGACTGGATGGGCCAGCTGCCTCTCCCCACACTAATATTGCCTAATTCTTTGCATTTTGATTATGGCATAGTTGTACCACAAAGCATGTTTTCCAGTTCAGATCTTCAAAAATGTAATTAATGATTTCTTAAACCACACATATCACAGAAGGTAAAAAGATAATTTGAACTGGTCTGATTCTGCCTCAAAAAAAAAAAAAAGTAATAAAAACACTAAGGAAGAAGGAAGCACCAGTAAGCAGCATTTGTACCTTGATAGTTTTTACCAGGTTAGCAGTGCTGTTTGCAACTTCCTTGGCAGACTGCACAAAGTGTCTCTTGGCAACAGGATTTGCAGTCTTTGATGAAGCAATGCGACAAGCATTGCACAAAGCGGAAGTATGTTTGGCCACAATTGTGGCAGCTGATAATACCTGTAAAAATAGATGGCACAAAACAAGCAGATTGTCAAAGGAGCATGAGAGTTACTGTTCCCTAGTTCTACAAAGTCACAGTTCAAAGCCATGCAACAGTTGCAAACCAAAACTCCTTTGCTTGGTCAGAAATAAAGTGAAGTCACATGTGCTAACAACAACAGTCATACTTCAGTCCTCTGGAATCACCTGTGATGGGCTGCTTGCTGGATCTACCAAATTCTGGCAAGCCATCTGGATTGCTTGATTGGCTCTGGCAAATTGAATTGGGTCAACAAGACCTTGCTGACCAGCCTGACTGTTTGGATCTGAGATGCCAACCAGGTAAGCAGCCTAGAAATGGAGAAAGAAAGAAAACAATCCTAAGAAACAATGCTCAATCATCTTGTTTCTTTGATAAGCTTACCATATGTCATAGCACATGGTGGTCAGAGATTATTCAGAAATCATACTGTGAAGTAGTATTACCAGGTTTTTTTAGTAATAAATCTCCAGAATCCTCTGAAACCAAGAAAACTTACCCTTACACTTGTGAAATTTATTTAGTCAAAACAAAACTCTCCACTGTTTAAGCAGCTGGTATCCCTGGAAACATTTCTTTCGCTTGCATGGAAAGAGCTTTAATGGTCACAAGCATCAGCAAATTATTTACTGGATTAGTTACAGATGGCGGTGGTGAGGGTTTTGTCAATCCTGCATAGAAAACCAATTCACAGCAAATGCACTGCTGCTGAGCACAGGACCCACCAAGCCTGCAGTTGCTGGCCACACTGCAGCTCAAGATATCTGATGGCCAAACTTACTTTCTTTCTCAATTAAATCAAGGTTTCATGCCTCTCAGCAAGGAGAAATTGTCTAAACTGTCAAAGCCGTATTTGAAGATTTCTTGATGAATTTCCATTACAGATACAATTATTTGTCACCTGGATATGCCAGTAAGGCAATACAGGGTTAGATATGGAGGAGATTAAGCCCATAGTAAGACATTCTATATTTAGGGAAATCAAGAAGCAGTTTCCAGATGTAAAGCATGATTCCCCACAGCCAAATCCTTCACTTGAAGAGGCTCTATCAGCTCTCAAGAGTTCAAGTCACCCAGTTACCAGAGTGAAATCTCAGTGGCCAGTTCCAGACTCTAATTTATTGTAAGTGGCTTAAGAATTTTGATTATTCCCAAAGTATCTGAACAGCTGAAACACATTGCTTATTATTTATAATGTCTGAAATTAGTAGTGCTCCTTATGAATTTTTACAAATTAAATCAAACTTGATTCATGCATTTTAACTGTGGCTGGGTTTTGTGCAACTTCTCTATGATGTAACAGTTCAGAGCTTGCGCTACAAACATAAATTCCATATGCTGCAGCTTTGACTATTTGCTTTATCCTCAGAAAAGTTTCCTGCCTGACATTATTTCCCTTCCTTATAAAATATGCATGTTATTGCACTCTGCTGCTTCTGCAACGTACAGCAGGGTATGCACAATTTCTGTGGATCTACACAGGGCATGCTCCCTAGTATGAGGCGATAACTTGTTTTGCCACAAGGAAGTCAGTCTCAGATTTACACATGGACAACATGAGCTTTCTAAAAAACAAAAACATACTTACTTTACAGACTTCAGTAGCTTACCTGAGCTGCTGCCTCTGTGAGGCCACAAAGAGCCTTGGATGCAACTCCAACACATTCTCCAAAGACTAAAAGATCCCCAGTTTTTGCATTCTGAGAAATGCCTGCCATTGATTCTCCAAGAACCTCAGAAATTAAAAAAAAAAGTTACCTTCCCAATATGCTTCCCTACCACTCAAAGGCAAGCACTTCCTGGCCTTGAGCCAGTTCTGGCCCACAAACCTCTTGGACTTGCCTTCCAGATATTTTAGCTAGTTAACGACTTTACTGAATTGGGGACATTCCTGTGCGGCATAAGGATGTGGCCATCTGAATGTCAGAATACACATTCATTCCCACAGTGCCTCCCACTGAATTCAGTTTATTTTCTCTTAAAATACAAAATAAGATCCGACTGCAGGAGAGCATTAGATGCAAGATGACAGGCACATCCATTAAGCACTTTCTTTTCCTTTTAGAGAAGGAAAGATCTGAGACAATTCCAACACATCAAACGATAAGGACACCAAAGCAAGGCTTCAAAGAAAGATGTATAGCATGGTATGTTTAAAAAAAAAAAAAGGGATTTCACACAGATTTTCTGATGTGCTGGAACATCTGGACAGCTCAGACATTTCTCTAAGCTGTTTTGCACAGAACAATACGACAGTATTTCATTGCCAAGCCTCCCATTTACACTTTGGGCCACTCTAACATAGCTGCAGTCAAAATATATCATGAAAGTATGACATGCTGTCTAACTCGGGGGGGGGGGAGAAACGACGACACTTTAACAGCATTGCATACCAGTCACTTAATTAAAAATTTCTTACCAAGGCAATATGCCTTCTAAGTGACCCAAACCTGAAATTACTGGTAAGAGACCTATCTTGAGCTGAGTTTTATCAAGGAATGCAGCATATGTTTTAGCTATAAACACTGTGCTATATTTCTAACATGTTTGATATGCAGGTGGAAACTTCCGATAATCAAAATGCACTTTACAGTTGGCACAGAAATAGGAAAAGGAAATTACCTTTGAGTTTTCCATTACGCTCTCAATACAATCAAAATATGAGAGATCGCTCACAGGTTCATTGGGGTTATCCAGCATTCCCTTAACTGTCTGAAATAATGAAAGATACTCTGGTTATTGACAGAGCCTGAAATACGGAGCTGAGAAGATCACAGACCATCACAACTATCCTGCTTATACCAGCGTATCTTGCAACTTTGTCTACAGCAAAGCAAACAAAACTACACACTCACTGGGGGCTCACATATATGTGTGCTACACATTAAATGCTACCCTACATTTACTGGACTGCGCTAACTACACATCTGTGCGCTACAAACCTGTTGGCAGCATAGGCCAATGTGGTTTACCCTGTGTTTGTGATGAGTGACTTATGGTCAGTTAGCAGTGCTCAGCTGACATGAGGTAATCTGATTGTCTGGCAGCTGTCAACAGCCTAATACGTGTGTTTCAGTACTATTTCAAATTTTATAAATGGAATTTCAAGAGGGACAGGAAAACGAGCTACCATTTGTGGAGTACTGCCTAGAGCCACAAAGGCCTACCAAACTAAGTGCAAATCAACCACCCGCCTGCCTCTTACCACTGTCAACAGATTCCACCAACATAGCTCCCTCTGCCAGAAAACTACATATACTAGTTGGGTTTAATTTCTTTTCCTGAGGTGATTCTGATTCCTAGAAATAACGTGAAACTCAGTCATATATTCACTGAGAAGAATCAATGCATTTAGATAACAAAACTTGTAAAAACCTGTAAATTGCAGCAGACTAATTCCCATACGTAAAAAAAATCTACAACGTGCCTTTTTCCAAGTGTGGAGGAACACTATTTTCTGCCAAATATGAGGGAGAAAAGACTTAATCTCTCTGATGAAAGTGCAAGCAGTGAGTACAGAAAGATACTAACAACTGTATGTGACATTTGCCTTCCACCTGAAGGAAATTTAGGCATGATATTAAACCCTTAGACTTTTCTCATAACTAAACTTCTAACATTAAGATACACCTACAATATTTTTAACAGCTCACCTATTGCTTTAAAAAAGCTATAGTCTAACTTAAAGCCTTACAGCAATTAAACTGTGAGTACAAGGTGATATGAGGAAGAAGTCATATCTAGAAAACAGTTCCCAGTTGCTTCTCATCTCTTTCCCAGTTCTCAGAGACATTGCAGCAACTCTTCACCGTTGTGCTCTATCTTTAAATAACAAATTGTAAAGCAAACAATCTGGCACTACTTGCACTACTATGGAGAAAGAAGCCCTCAGAACATAGAAAACAGAACAGCAAAACAGCCAGCACAACTTCCCACTGACATGTATTTGCTATCGCTAGAACATACTTGTTACTCCTTTCAGCTGAAATTCTGGGCAAGTTTAGCTGTGTCAGTGGAGGTCATACACTAAGGTCCTCCCTAAACACCGTATTCCAGAATCTCCAGGGAAAATGACAGAGCATACTGACAGTCTACCAAATCCAAGCTGAGACATGCTCTTTCTACAGAAACAATACTCTTTAACACTTTTAAGAAGCCTTGGGGAGACTAGAAATAGTAGGCAATGAATTGCGGAAATGAAAGGAAGAGGTAATAATGGCAAAGAAAAATTTCAAGTTAAGACCATTAAGAATGCTTTCCCCAAAATTCCTCAGGTCACTTTGATACCAGTCTCCAGTCTGGTTTCAGGACTGTGTGGTTTTGCCTCAGTTTCCCTTTTCTCACAAATCAATCTCATTTCATACACCCAGGCTTTTCTCGCTAGCTGTCCTTCTCAGGCAAGTGTTTCCTGAAGTTCAAGATGCTACAGATCTTCCTTCTGCCCTTCCCAGGCTCCGCTTGCAATCCATGCAAGCCATGCTATTGCAAGAACCCTTTCAGGCAGCCATTACATGACAGCCCAATTTCCAGTTTTTCTCTATTATTTAGCCTTGCTGCCTCTCCCTTTAACCAAGGGGAGAACACTTCTAAGCTCAAGCAGCTAAGAATTCAGAATACAAAGCAGCTCATAGGCAAACTCCTACCAGTATTTTGGGATGAGGACTGCGGACTTGTGTATTGCAAAAGCTCACAATGTCCTGAAATGCACTGCAATGACCTTTGTATCCTTTTGATATCAAGGGGTAGAAATAAAAAGCTTGAAGGTGTTTTATGTTCTCTACACAGGCCAGTCATCCCTCAATGCATCCTTAACAGCAAGCAAATATTTAGTTTAATTAAAAAGATGCTGTTTCCTGCTATTGTAAGCAGCTGTCTCTGATCAGCGCACAGCCTTAGAATTAGGTCTTTCAGCTGACCTGCTACCCACTGTTTAGCTAGCCAAATATTTCACTCATAAACCAGAGCGCACCTTGCAAACACTTGTATTGACGCATGTCATGTGAGCTTGGCTGTGACAAAGCAGATACCAGGCATTAAAAATCTACACTAAGAAATGTCAGGGAGCAACAGGGTAAAAGATGGGAAGTGTCATCCTAAAGTGGGATGTCAGTAACAACATACTATAAGCAGAAAAATAAAGATACTGCAGCTCCCTCCAGTGCACTGCTGGTAGTGGGAATGTCCATCTCATCATGATTCTTCCTTAATTCACAGTAAGTATGAATAATAAGGACTAAAGTGTACCTTTTGAGGGGCAGGGAAGAGGAGATGGGATCAGGGCAGCAACTTTCATTCTGGCCAAAACTACAAGACATTCACAGAGGTTCTGTGCTTACCTTGTATGCAATTAAAAGCCCTGCCACAGATACCAAGTCAAAAGACAGTGACAGCAGCTAATTAGACAAAGAAAACAAAGGAAACAAACATTTGGGGCCCATTTTTATTCATAAGAACTTCTGAAATGTAGTAATACCTCCAGTTCTCTGAGTGCATTATCACATTCCTTCTGCCCGGGAGCTTGCTGGGTGCACAGCGTGATGAGCTGGTTTATACTCTCAGTCACAGCTCTAGGGAGAGTAGGAGGGGGGGAGGAAAAAGTATATTTTAAAGTTAAACTATTCCTCTTATTAAAACTTTGTTTCATTAACTGTACACTGCATAAAGATTTAAAACTTCTATGTTCTACTACATTTTTTTCTTTTCAGTGTTTGGGGATTAACTGTATGTTAAACAGTTCACCTAGAGACCTCTGGGTTAACAAGCTTCACAGGAGCAAAAACATTCTCACTAAAGCATCTGATAGTGATTCACACCTGAAAAACTATTCCTTCATGATGAACAACTGAGAAATTACTCCAGAAGAAACAGAAGCTTCATCTCACCGCAACAAATGTATTAGGTGTTCATGGCAAGGTTTTGGCTGCAGGGGTGGCCTCCCTAAGAAGAGGCCAGGGGCTGCCCCATGCTGGACACAGCTGGTTCCAGACACCTCCAGACCCACTGCAGGACACAGCTGAGCCCAGCAGCCAAGCTGATGGCACCTCTGGGAAAACATCATTTAAAAAAGGGCAAAACACCATCTGGCAGCAGGCCAGGGGCAACCCACTACAATAGTGCAGTAACATAACTTAGTTGCTTAAAGGTATTTTAGCACTGCTCCAGGTCTGGTATTAACTGAATCATTTCTCAGCTAGCACTCCAGAAGTCTTAAGACACAGAAACAAGTGGCCAGTATGTCAAAAAATGTTTGAATGTAAAGTTATATAACCTTTGTTAGCAAAGTCTTGTGTCTTGTCTGACATGCTATGTTACACACACACATAATCCTGATATATATTTCCTTAGTCTGTCATCAAGTTGATTTTTTTCCTCTTTAAGCAGTGATATTCTCTGAGTCAACATGCATTGGCTCCCTTAGGTTTAAATCCACAAAGAACAAGGTATTTTTGCATTATATTTCTACGGGAGTTTACAGTTCCGGTGCTCTTGAACAAAAGCCGAATCCAACATACAAGGATGGTCACCGTTTGTGTTTCCAATTAATGCTCTGATATTTAGCAAAATTCATTATAACTACATCCATTGTAGACTAACGGCTAACCACCCAGGAAAGTAGCTTCTAGAAGATGACACTTTGCAGGAGGAAAGTAGTCTGCTGTTTGTTATTAATCAAAGATAATTTTCTATAGTTAAGCATGTTGTCACTAATTTGCAAAAAGTTCACTTGTATCATGACAATATGGTGGAATACAAGTTTTTTTGTGTTATTTCTCATGGCAAATTAGAAAATGAGTGAAATCAGAGCACATGGAGAACATGCTTTCCTCTGGCCTTGAAAACTCTGCAGGGCATTTGGATTATTTTCTCTTTAAGAAAACTGGCACTCGATAACACGATTGGTAACATCAATAACATGATCGCCTAGATGGATGGTATCATACTGTTACAAAAGCAAACAGGATGTGCTTATTACATACACACCAATTTTTATGTTTAATTTCAGGACAAAAAGAATGGAAACTAACAGATGGATTCTCAGCCTCCTGAACATCAGTGGTTTCTATGAATCCGAAAAAATGTCCTTGCATAGGGACGTATGGATAGATGGCAGAAATGGAAGGTTCTGCTCACTCCCAGAGAAACTTCATGCAAAAATATTCTGTCCGCTGTTGATTTTGATCTAAGAAAGAAAATGCACACTGACTCAGAGAATATCAGCGATTGAAGAAAAAAAACCCATAACTTGATAACAGACTAGAATGGTCAGCTTTGTAGAGGATGCAATATGGTCTCATGAGTATCACCACTACACACCAGACACCTGCATCCAGGAACACACCCAACGCACAAGCATTACTTTTTAAACTATTTGGAAGCAGCAGAACCAGGAAGGCGGCCCCCTCAAACACCAATCCCAGGAAGAGGACTGCTAGGACTCCAAAAGCCACATTTGTTTTCATCAAATACAATATAAATGCTTGGATCCTGCACTCAGCCACTGCTTCAGTCCTATGAGACTATCAGAGGAAGTCAAGAAAGATGCCTCCACAAGGAGGCCAAAGCTACTGAAAAAGCTGGGGTGTTTATTATAGCTGGAACAAAGGGGGAAGAAAGGAAAGAAAATGCAAGAAGATTAATCACAGAAGGTAACAGAAAAATGAGAAGATAACCCATCTTATAAACAGGAAGCAAAGGAAGCTGTGCCTCTCTTTTCATTTTCATGGGGAAAGAAAAAGTAAAAATACTTGATCCTGAATTACAGTGTCTCCTTAGTGTCTTAAACACAAACTGAGAATTGATACAGTATTTGCTTTTCATGGTTATTTATTTCTATGTAAAGCCTTATGCATGCAGACACACATACACATGCAAACAGCATGGCAAAATAGAACATCTAAAGGCTCTGCATGGCTTGTCTACCTTTTTTTATTACATTCTTCTACAGGGGGAATACCAGCCTGGCAGAAACTAAACAGCTAACTGGGCTTCGCTGGGGATACTACACCTTCCTCTACGCTGCAAACAGGAATGCTCCAAGCCTAAAGCAGAAATCTGTAGCAGTTTGATGCTGCAGAAATAACAAAAGCTCATGCAACTCCTTCACTTTTAAGCAGCGTGACTTTGATAACCTACAATTTTCCTAGAAGATATTTATTGCTGGGGAGAAAAGATAGATGTCAGAATTTTTTTATTTTTTTTTAATGTATATTACAAAGTAAAGTAGCATAACTTCTTTAAGGAGTCCTTTATTGAAGAAGTAGATTTATTTTTTAAAAATAAAGTTATTGCTATTAGAAAGAGATGATTCCAAGGTCCAGGACAAACACCAACTACATTATCCCCAAGGAAGTAACAGTCTTAATTTACTCACTTCCTCTCTAGGCTAATCTTTGTGGGTGTAAACATTTTGGAAGACAATATTATAAGTCAAATCCACACAATCTCAGATGTTAGTCTGATTTAATGTTGACATTTCTAGGTGTGATGTCCGTCTGTCCTTCAGCAGCCCCTTCCAGTTTGATATCTGAACGTTCCATTTACATTAGATAACTGAATAAAAAGTTAATTCAGAAAAAAAATTGTGAAAAAGATTTGACAAAATGAAAGAAGGTCCAGTTAAACACTGAAATGCAGTGTTATTTTTCACATAAACACTGAGCACCCTGACTGAAAAACATCACCCATAAGGTGAAATTCAGTCAGAATACTTAAATTAAGGGTATCTTTCACCAACTAAACATAGCATCTAAGCCTTTCAAGTGTTCTTGATCATACACATACACACGCTGTCAGTGATAGGTAGCCACAACATGATTTTTAAGCACATTCTATAGAAAGAACATTATTTACTTTATATTCTTTGTTAGGGATTGAGAGGCTTACTGTTAGCTACTGCCTTGTCAGAACACAGATGGCAAGAGAACAGTAGGGAAAACACACTAGTCCCTTTCAAAAACCAGTCCAACTCTTCAACTGCTGGTTATTATTTCCACCATGGGTAACCAAGTTATGCCGGTTAACAAACTACTCCAAAAGAAGCAGTTTTCCTCTGGCCTACTTTCATTTAAATAGAACTGCAGGTTTCAACCACTCAGCTGTCAATAGCAGAAGAATATATAAGCACTTTATAAGTATCACAGAGAAAAGCAAGTATCTTAGGAAAACCTAAAGCAAGCAAGACATCCTTACCTTGCTGCTGCTGCTAAGAGGTTCTTGGCATTAGGAGCTCCAGGATCAACAGAAAGAGACTTGGCAGCTAGTAACAACTTGCTGGAAGCCATCGAGATGCTCTTGAGGTTACCTATTACTTGAATCTGGTCCTCTTTAGTCTGAAAAGCCACAGCAGCATAACATTAAGCGCAGACTTTGCAATAGAGTGTGCTAAAACCACGTTTGGAAACCCAGTTTGCTTATCCACCTGAAATGACTGACATGCAGGGGACCATAGTCCGGAGAAGGACATGGACCAAAGCCTCTGTTCACTCTGACAGGTGCCTCTAGCTTCACTTACTTAACAGAAAAAGAAACCTATACAACAAATAGCTTGGTTTCTAACAATGGCAGTATTCACAAGTGAGCAACGGAGAAACTTTACTACTTGTTGAACAATGCTTTTGTTGTCAAGACACTCATGTGTCTCTGCCTGGCACAACTGATCCACATTATTCAGTCAGCGTACACTGTCTGTATTCTAGCATCCTCTGTGTATCCCACAGGCATCTATTTGGGATTACTAACACAGAAAGATCCCTCCAGAAAGTCCTCTACCCCAAGAAAATACGTTTCCATAAGCCTATTTTGGTAAACATTCTGACTTGCATGCTCTTATTACTTATTTTAACCCATTGCTTGAAAAGGAAAACCTGCATATGCATACAATTACAGGGTAGTACTCCATTATCACAGCACATTGCTGTGACTAGATTCTTCTGTCAGTGATCAGTAGAAGTGAATCCATTCTTTCTAACAGTCTATTCAAGGTTTTATGTAAAGAGCTTGCATATTACTCAGCTGATGTGAATAGCTTTTACTCTATATTTACATTCTGCTGCTTCCTCCCTAACCCCCCATTTTGCTGGGCATCCAAACCACCTGGTATTGCTTCTGTTCAGGCCAAATTGCTTTCTGTCTGTGTGTAGTTTTCTCATTTGCCATTAATAATGAAGATGGTTACCATCCCCTACATCAGCAGGATAAGCAAATCAGAGAGGGCCACAAGGTCATCACCAGCTGGAATTCTCTTTTCAGGTAGCTATTTCCAGTACCATTTCTATCTTTGCCTTCACTGAATTGCCTCAAACAAAACATTCTAAAAGCCAATGAGGGCCATGGCTAAAAAGACAGTCAGGTACCTAACTCCTACTCAATTTCAGAGAATCAGCTGATATTTGGTGCCTAACTCACTTCACAGATCTGGAACCTGTATGATTAAGTTTTGATGGAGAATAATCAGCAGTCATTGTCTGATCTCTCTACTCAGCTCTACCTAAAAAGCATCTGCTCTAGAGAAACACTTTGTAAATGACTTCAGAGGACTGGCACAATCAAGACTTTCTGGCTAGTTTTCTTTCAGCAATCATTTCTTAGGTTTGCAAATTCCTTCTACTAACCAGGGTAAAACAGTCTGCAGATTCTTTTTTCTGCAAGTCCTCCTAGCTCTCCTGGTGCATGGCCCTTTTTTATATGCTGACATTTGTTACATTAAATCATCTCCAGACAACTGATTAGTGTAATTCAGTATACCTAAACCCAGTAAGATAAAATGAAGAAGATCTCTCCAACTTCAAATGAGTAGCTAGACTACTAGGAATAAGCTAGGTAATAAGTGGATGCATTCCTGATTGCTATGGAGTTCATCAGAATAGAACTGCCAGATTTTAAATCACTAAACAAAAGTCCAAGCACTTGCTATCAGATCCATAGCATTTTAGCCATTCCTCTTCAAATGCTTACTCCGCTCTGTAGCAGGTCCACACCAGCACGTACCACAGAGCAATGTCAAGTCTGGATTTTAAATGCATCTTTTCCTCCTTCTACTTAAAGCATTTGAAAATTAGCAAAGGAAGGTGCTAAATTTTTAACAGTGTTCACACACAGATTATGCTTCATGGTATCCCTACCAAAATAGAAGCAACCCTTTCCATAAGCTGTGAGAGGCTCAGAACACCTTTGTACCTTCAGATATACAGGTCAAATTAGTTAACAGCCCAAACTAGAACAGAGAAGTATAAAGTCGTATTTCCGACTAGGCACGGGAACAAATACCAGTATCCTGTGTAAAAAGCAAACACTGAGTTGACTTCATTCCAGATAACCAGTTACGGTTGACTGCTTCATAGCAAACATCACCTGTCACATTTGGATAGGCCCACACCAGCATACTGTGCTACCAGATAACCAAGATACTGCACTGCAAGATACTATGCCCAAGATAACCCCTGGTCCCAATTGGCAAGATAAAAAAAACCAAAACCAAAACAACAAAAGTCAAAAGCTTACTTGTGCTTGGCCAGCCATTTCTATACCAGCATCAAGAAATTCATCAAAATCATCACTGAATTTTCCAGAGGCTGCAGCCAGTTCCCCACTTTGACCCCGTGTAGCATGGACGACTTCTCCTGCTGATTGATTCAGGTCTGCTGCTGCCTGGTTCAGTTCACTCTGAGCTTCTTGAAATGACTTAGAACTTGGAGGTAGCTGTAAGAGACCAAGTGCCACATTTTATCGTCTATCATGTCACACCTGCCCTTCACAAGTGGCAAGTACAATACAGTTCAAGAACACTAAATGCAATACAGTCATGAGCTTCACATACAAGCTAGAATGGAGTACCGCAACTGGAGCGCTAGTGATTCAATTCTGATGCAGAGTAGTCTAACTATGGGACAGCTATCAACCAGAAATCTATATAATGACCTTAGTTCGGCTGTTTCTTTCAAGGGACAGACAAGTATGTAAGCCTTTCAAGGGACAGAGATTGGAATAGCTATTTTACGGTTCAACTACAAGATTTGAAGTGATGAACTCACTGGCAAAAGTTAGAGAATTTTGGTCTCCCAGTCATCATTCACTTCCACAAACACCACATGAGTATTGGTAGCTCTTTACAATGACTCTAAACTCCTGACCTAGTTTTACCAAAAGGCATTGCACAAACATATCAAAGTACAATTCCGCCTGCATTCACAGGCTAGCAGGATCACTGGTAGGTGCAGAAAAAACTTGTCATATAACCTTTTGGCAAATTACCAGTGCACAAAGGAGGGTTTTTTTTCATATGGATGCAGTTAAACAGAAATATAACAGTTCTCCTTGCACAAAATGACCATATATGCACCAAACATTTTTTGACTGATCACAGTTATTACTTCTAGGTGGAGATGGATTGTAATTTTCAAATTTTCATATTCATATTCATCATTCATATCAGACTGCTAAGTCACAGCTGGCATTTTCAAAAAAACAAACTAATGGTGACCTATAACAACTTTAATACTGCCTTCATAAGCCACATACACATTTTACCTTTTCCATAAACTACAAGAACAGCATTTCAGCCAAAGCAGCAGCTACTTGAAGTTGCATAAACTTAAAACTTAAATGAAGTATACTTAGTGCACATTTACTACATAATGATTTGACACATGGGGAACCTAGATCTGCTTTTCAGATCCATGAAATATATTTCTATGTTAAAAGACATCTCACCGAATCAACGAGGAGCTTCTTGCTAGATTCCCCAATACTCTTCAAGGCCACATCCACATCCTTTTGTCCAGGCAGACAATTCACACAGTTATTCAAGGAGTGAGACACTGCTTTTGCCACCTACAACACAAGTAAAGACATCCACGCCAAGAAAGGCTTAAGTGGCCATTTATCTAATAGGAGGCACTTTCTATAACCAGGAATTCCTACGTTCTGTCTCTGACAAGACCATTTTTGAGGCTTGCAACTTTCTTCATTTGGTCACCTGTAGTCTAGCAGCAGACACTATTTACGCCCATCCATTTGATGGGATAGTGTTGGCAGGGCAGCTCCACGACTGCTCCTGGCACCTGGGATAAAGGCTGCAGCACTGCAGATGAGGGAATGCCCCTGAAGTTAACCATATACTAATCACAGAAATCCTTTGCATGCTACTTTTTTTAGACAAAGTCCTGATTAAAACAAATGTCTCTTCATAAATTATTTAAAATACAGGGCAATTACGGTTTCAAACTAGTAGAAAAGAACCTGTTACTCCTTAAAGTCTTCAAAAGCAGTGGTGCCACATATGTAGAAAATGTGCATTCACTTTTAGAATATAACATGAATACAGATCCTTCAGTAGTTTCATTTTTGCTGTCAAGCAGCCTACTCAAATATGTTGTGGGTAAAAGCACTTAACTGTATCTTTGTATAAGTTTATTTTTCTAAAATATGACTAAAATACCATATTTGCACCATCTGTATTGTTTAACATAAGCATGATATTACTACCTGAGAGTTGCTGGAAGGACTAGAAAGCTGACATTCCTTGCAGCCTTATTTTCTGTTGTTCTCTCTCATTGGGTGTTTGATAATTCCTGCAGCTGCTCAAGTCTTAACTTACCTGTGCTAATCTCTGCTGACTGTCTGCATCCCCTGGTGCAGCCAGGGCCTGCTTCGCCTCCTGAATAAGCATAGCAGAGCCTTCCATGACATCCCTTGCTGAATCCAACATTGCATGCGCTGCCACAGGGTCGGTAGTAGATGCTGCAACCCCTCGTGCTGCCTGAGCCAAAGTCTTCAAAGCCTGGGCAGTTTCTCTGGCAGCAACTCCTATGTTCAGATTTCATCAAGGATTCTATTAGTACCTTAAAGACAATCTTTGCATTTTATGACAGATGAATTTGCAGGTAATGATCCTTTGCAAAGTAACATTGCAAATGCAGTTTAAAAGAAAATCTTCAAACATGGACACATTTAAAATACACAGCATCATTTCCCTAGAGAAATGCCTGTATTGAAGCCACAAAGTAAATATTATACCCCAAAGACATATTCCGGGCACAGCTCTACATCAGTGACTAAATCTTAGTGAAGCACTGAAAAGGAAAATCTAAAGCCTGGAAAGGAGGAAAAAACTCATACTCCAGGCTATGGGGGAAAGTGACTGCCTGCAAGAACAGTGTATGTGACTTCAGAGCCACAGTGTCTCTGCCTCTCATTTTTGAAAATGCAACTTTGGATTTTTTAGAGAATAACCAGAGCAATAGATTAAGTTCAAGCAATTAAAAAAACTGAAAGATATCATTAGGGATCACACAACTTGCTTAACCTAACATAGAATCATAGAATGTTTTGGGTTGGAAGGGACCCCTAGAGGCCATCTAGTCCAACCCCCCTGCAGGAGCAGGGACACCGCTAACTAGATCAGGTTGCTCAGAGCCCCATCCAACCTGGCCTTGAATGTTGCCAGGGAT